CAGTGGACATTTCCCCAGCAGCTTACATCCTATAAATCTCACATCATACCCCTGAAAAAATAATTGAATTAAAACTGCTCTCAAGGTGTTCCAGCTCATGTGGTTAACCAAAACAAATGTTTGCTTTTCCTCAGACTGCCTCAGAGAATATGTGAGAGGGGTGGAAGTCGGCATTGAGCGTCTCTTTCATTTATAAGTGAATTAGAGTCTGATGAGCAAAAATGAACAGAAATCAAAGAAAGAAAATATCATATATAACAATCCCAGTTGTTTTCTTCTCCCACCTTTCCCTGAAGAAACACGTGTTATTTTTAATAACATATTATTCCTTTCACGGCTGTAAGCAGACGCTCTGAAACTTTGAGCTTCATTCATGCTAGAAGTACAAAAGTACAAGAGTCCAGCGGATTTAACTTTTAATTGGACCCAATGGCACTTGATGTATAATGCAGTGTAAAGGCTGCTCACTGTAAACCCACCGTTTCCCAAACTTGCAAATAATTTACTATTGTGTAAATGACACACATGATCATTATGAACATTTCTCAGCAATGCGTCCCTTTAATGATCCCATGAAACTCTGATCACTGGTAATATATCCGCCTCCAAGAAAAAAGAAACTCAGACGGTTTACATGTTGGCACGTTGGCATGGGTGGCTTCATTTCCACTTCTAACACTAAAAATAAATAACAAACTTGCTGCTGTTCACCTACACAAATTTACAATAACAAAACATGTATATTACATTATATTATAATGATGATAATAATGCCACTTTCTCTGACACTAGAGCTACTACAGCTAACACACAGAGCCAAGTATTTGTACTATGAAGATATTATTCTATTAAATATATATTTTCATTTCCATAATTTATTTAGAAATAGTACATTCATGTTATTCAGGCTGCACACCTCCTCACCTGCATCTCATTCCCTCATCAGCCACTCATCATTTATACCGGCTTTCAAGCCTCTATTTTCTGTTACCCTATTTACTGCATGTTTGACCTTTTGCCTGTTTATTGGACTTCTTGCCTGCTTTTTTTTAAATTTATCTTCTTGTGTTGGACTGCTGCCTTCTGGTTTTTACCCTTGCCTGCCCACCATCCCGTAAGCCTTTTGTATCCAGAATTCAAACTGCTTGACAACCAAATTAGCTCTAGCCCCTGAACTAGTTACGTTAAAGATTCTTGGAACCCTGGTGCTATCTAGCACACCAGCCCACGTTTCCATCAGTTTGGAGCGAAACAATTGTAATCAAGAATGCGTCATCAACAGAGGGCGGTGTACATTGCTCAACAACCTGTAGAAACCGGGTTCTGAACCAGTTTATTTTTGGTCAAAGTACTCTAACCATATTGTTGCTGATTCCCTGTTGGTGGAAAAGGCTTATAAGTCAACTGTGACTGTGAGGGGACGATGAACCCTGAGACCAGACCAGTTGGCACCCACCTAGAGCCGGGGTCTGTCAGAGGTTTCTGCCAAGTTTTTCCTTGCCGCCGTCACCAAGTGCTTGCTCATGGTGGGAACTGTTGGGTCTCTGTATATATATATATATATATATATATATATATATATATATTATAAGGAGTACGGTCTAGACCTGCTCTAATTTTTAAAAGTGTGCTAAGATAACTTCTGTTTTGAGTTGGCGCTATACAAATAAAATTGTATTGAATTGAATTGAATTGGAACTCTAAAGTGAAGTTTCCAGTGTGCATTTGTCTGTCTCTTTAACGCACCGACCCACATCAGTATCCAGCTTGTAGAAACATGTCAAAGCTTTCTATCCCATCCATTCCATCAAGCACACTGTATTTATAGTTTTTAAGTTTAGTCTCAGAATGAGTGAAACCTTACAAATGATCCCACAAGAAACTTTGAAATGAAGAAATCAAGTTACTGCGCAACAGTAGTTAAATGTTCTTTGGAAACAGTCAACAACTCTTGCACTTTATATCCAATGTCAGACATTTTTTATGTTATTACTGCTGATATATGATATCTAAAGTCAGATATAGCATTTGGAACTGCTATCTCTCTGTAACTTTAGTTAAAACAAACTCTGGATTTGTCTTGAGAAAAGCTTTGTTGTAATAAACACTGTGAGTAGGTGTAAGACAACTGAAGGAATCTGCTTTAGTGCCATAAAGATGAGCAAAGAATGCTGTTCCTTTGAATGCTACCAGCATTACAGGTGTCTAGAAAGGAAACAATGTAATGGTCTGCCTGCTGTTATGCCTGGTATGGTGAGGAAGCAGGTGCTTAGTCTTTAGGTCAGAGTGTGTGTGTGAGAGAGCTCCCTCAGGCAGTGCCAGCACTGTTCTCCCAGTGTCTCACATTCTCTTCCAGCTCAGTGTTGGGCAGTCGTCTGTGCTGGAACCCAGGGGAAAGCAGCTACACACACACACACACACACACACACACACACACACACACACACACACACACACACACACCTACACACACACACACACACACACACACACACACACACACACACACACACACATGGGAACCAATAAAATAGCTTAGAATAGCACAAACAGCGGAATATCTCCCTACAACACATACAGCAATTACAATGTTGGGCAGTGAGCCAAGGCTATAGGGGCCACAGTGTGGTGGTTCAAAGAGAGGCCAATCGACTCTGCAGTAATCAGAGCTGCAACAATCAGAGCAGAGTAAACTGACAAGACATTGAGCACAACCTCTAAACAAAGTGGAAACGGCTCCAGTTATCTGGTAATTAGCCCACGGGTTCAACAGAGCCGCTTCATCAATGCTGGTACATTTACTGTTCCAAACACCAGTGTAAATGGACCTGTACTTGTATAGCGCCTTTCTAGTCTTCCGACCACTCAAAGCACTTTTACACTACGTGTCACATTCACCCTTTCACACACATTCACTCAGTGATGGCAAAGTCCATCGAACAGAAACTAACATTGATACACATTCACACACTGATGCACAGCATCAGGAGCAATTTGGGGTTCAGTATCTTGCTCAAGGATACTTCGACATGTGGCACTGGGGATCGGACCCACAACCTTCCGATTAGGAAACGACCCGCTCTACCTCTGAGCCACAGCCGCCTGTGTCTGACCACATTTCCTGCTTAGAGCTGAGTGCAATTCAAATGGTTATAGTTGGAGTTTTACTGCCATTGCGAATAACCATTACTTCTGTTGAGGATGTCTTCAAATGTCTTGCTTTGTCCAACCAACAAAAGTTATTCAAGTCTGAACCAACAATCTAAGTACTTCCTTAGATCCTGAAAATGCACTTAAGGATAAAACCTTCAAATAAATAAAAAAAAAACAAGTAAAAAAAGAAATAAATTCAGGGGAGGAGGCTAGGTGCTAGGCTAGCTGGTGTGATATCCAAGGTTTTCCAAAATCTTGCCAAGCCAGATAAGATTATAATCTCTCTAGCATGTTGTACCTCAGGTCCCCCTTTTTAAAAATGGAAACCACCACACTGGTCTGCCATTCCACAGGTAGGCTACTGTCCCCAACCTCAATGTGACAGAAGAGGTGTCCAGAGCCGTTGGCATCTCAGGGCCAATCTCATCCACACCTGGCACCTTGCTATGGAGGAGCTTTCAACTACCTCTGAAACCTCTGGCAGGGATATGAGTGAGGCTTCCCTTTGAGTCTTCAAACTCTGCCTCTTCCACTTATGACATGTTGTTTGGGTTTAGGAGTTCTTTCAAGTGCCCTTTTCCACTTACCACTTGACAATATCAGCTATCCAGAAAATTATATATTTGACATATATTTATATTTGAAGTACTTCACCATACTGACACAGAAATTATATAAAGTTCCAATATGACAATAAACAGACACCTTCATTGATCTGCAACATTGTCACAATGGTCTAATACACCCAGAGATGCTACTGGAATAGCACAGTATAAACAGCAACAGCAAACAGCAACATCTTGGATGATCAACACATTCATAATGTCTCACAGTATATAGGCCTACCATCATATCTAGTAGGTGTTGGAGTTTGCTAAAAATAAGGAGCTCGGTTGTTGGCCATCATTGCTGAACAGAGCGGGAAAAGAAAGCAACGTACAGAAGACTTCATCAACAGTAACTCAAAAGGAACAGTCAATCACAGTGCTGCCCACAGGGGCAACACACTCCGGCAGTGTATGACGTGCATCACACACCCACACATTCTTTTCTATGTGAGCCTGCACATCAGCTTTGACTAGATGTGTGTCATCACGAGTTGATGCACGTCAACACATTACGATATGCTTCTGTCTCCCAGCATTAAAGTGTCAGCTCTTCAGAAAATCTGCAATTTTATTGCTCGGCACTTCTCACCTCTAATGTGACCTTTCCATGACATTAACTGAGAGGTTTTTTTGACAATACAGGACAGTATTTTCACACAAACTGTCATATAATTTACCTGTAGGCTTAGTATTGATTTAACCCCAGTTTTATTCCTCCCCATAACATTAATTTGGCCACAGCCCATCAGTAACAAATCAAATCAACTAGAATTTATTTTATTTGACAGAAAAGCACTTTTCTAGAAAGTGTTCGTGCAACATGGCAGTGAATGTATTTTTTCCACCATACCAACAAATGTAAATTATTAAAAGGCTGTATGCATGTAGATATGACACTTCTATTGGGCGTCTCTGAGGATTCCACTCTGGGCTCCCCGAAAAACAGACTAGATGTCAAAAAGATCGCTGCAGGTCCATTCTGCTTCGTGTCTGCTAAACCCGCTTTAGAGACGCACAAAATAAACAAAAGGTACACACAGCACCGTAACCGGTAGAGGAAGAGAGAGGAGAAAGACAGACAGAGCAGGTGGAGGTGGAGATAGAGTGCTAAGAAATGGAGCCACTGAATCATTGCTTAGGACCAAGGGTGGTGATCATTTGAAAGGTGCTTTAGTTACCCAGTTACTCCCAAACCTACACAGCTGCTTTATGGGAAAATGTTTGAATACATCTACTTACCATCACTGTTGACACACTGCACTTGTGGGATCTGGGTTCCTGGTCCACACTCCCTCTCATTATCAGGGACGCACTCCTCCAGTTTAACCACCAGCCAGTCGTAGCAGCTGGGGTCTTCACACGGTATTGCCTCCACCAGGTGGGGGCAATTCCCCGTCCCGCCCGTCGGCTCATTGACGATCCTCCTCTTCCTCAGTTTGAAGCCTGTCGGGGAACAACAGGAATCTAATGAACTAAATGAACAGCCCCACGCTAATCAACCACAGAGTGCCTTTGATTATAACCATTATATTGCATTTAACATGACAGTCCATTAAGCCTGAAGTTGACAGAAAATCCAAGAAGAACTTCACATAATGACTGTTTTTATTCTCCTCTCATTACAGTAGCTTTTATCCAAAATGACTAATGCATGCAGGAATCCATTAATTCAACTGGGGTTCATGTGTGTGTCGTTTCCTCTGCTCAAGGGCATGAGATTCCATGACCCAGGTCCTGGGAAGGGGGGATGTTAACACCAGCCCAGCCAAGGTCACCCACCCCCTAATCCACACTCCTGCTCCAGCCCGATAAGGCAGTGGAGCCCTGGAGTGCTTGCAGGACTCAGGTGGAGGCGGTAGAATCTCCCCTTTTCTATTTCATTTTTGTCTCTCTTTTTCCCCTCAAAACCTTTAATCAGGCAAGACAGCAGAACATGTGCCGCCATGTGTCTAGACCCATTGATGGAGGTTTTATCTGGGGGGGGTTATATGCAGGAAGATGAGACTTGGGGTGCAGGGAATTCAATTCTATCAGGCATCACTCACTTGCTATCTGTAGGGTGTATTATGAACAGCATGACCGCAAGATAGCAGTGCACAGGCAGCTGCTGACAGACCAAGAGGCTGAAGACACACATATATGGAAACAATCATATGTGATGACCTATCATGTACATGATATCAGCTCAGGATACCAAGGCTGTGCAATGATTCTCAAGAAACAGTGAGGAGGGTAGAGAAGGTAGGTATGTTTTTATACCAAATCAAAAGTACTGTTAAAAAATCACAATTTAAAAGAGAATTTTCAAATCTCAAGAGTGGCAATTTTAATCTTACATTATTAACAGTGTTATACGAGGTGAAATTTTAGCTTCAAGTAAATCACAGCTTACAGATAATAAACTGTAGACAGCGTCTTTCATTTAAAGGTTACATATATTAAGATTTTAAACATTAATATAGCAGCAAACAACTATTTGCTATGTAAAAATACATCGATCAGCCATAACATTATGAGCACCTAGGCACCCTGGTGGTGCCCAGGTCTGCAGGCTCATACCAACAAACTGTGATGCACTGTGTGTCTGAGATGCTTTGTCCCAGTCGTCTAGCCATCACAATTTGGCCCTTGTCAAAGTCACTCAAATCCTCACGCTGCCCATTTTTCCTGCTTCTAACACATCAACTTATTCACTTCACCTGTCAGTGCTATCGCAGCCTCTCTGTGGTTTGTTTAGAGCTGAGTAGAGCTACTAAAACTGTAGTTTCTATCATCTACATTGGTGAATTAAAGATATATTTTCACAGAACCAGAACTAGTGATTGTTAGAACAGTGCCAATACAGATTTGGTTTGTTTCTGTGCAGTTTGAACAAAGTTATGATGTTCCAAGAATATGCAAGGTAAAATTTCCAGATTTGTCTCTGGAGTCTTGTAGCGAGCGATATTACAGCTGCTTTTGGTTAAACGATAATCTCTGTAGGGATCCTTTCCATAATGTTATCAGACATTAGAATAGAACAGAATAACAATCTGGGCATGTAAGTGGCAACTACAACTATTTTTAAAGGACATATATTGACAGGCAGAATTGTCCCCAAGGATTAGCTAATGTCACATGGCTGCTTTTTTTTCCTTCATCTAACTTGTTGAATTAAGGATTAATTTTGACCAAACCAGGAACTGACATTGTCATCAAGTGGACACCTGGTTGGTGTTATCAATGATGCTCCTTTCAATGTCAGGATAATATTTAATATTATATATATTTTTAAACTATTGAGTAATGCAAAATATCACCAATGTGATATCATACACAGTGTGAAAATATATTATTTAGAATCCTGAAAGGACAATAACAACAAGCAAGGATTTATCTGATTGTTTTCATATTGAAACAAGATATGTTGTGTGTGTTCTGTCATATGTGTTTATGCTTCATACAAACGTATTCTATTTTAATACTGCAAACTGCAGCGGCCTAGAGTTAAAATTACAAGAAATGAATGCAATGTAAATCTCAGGTCCAATATTGCTCAGGAAAAACTAGCTGAGCTGTTCAGATACTAGAAAGGTGTGTATTCCTCTGCATACAGTACATGATAAAGTACTAACATTCATCAAACTAACGTGTTGTAATCAAAGCCAACTGATTTCCGTGTGTGTGTGTGTGTGTGTGTGTTCATGTTCACTTTCCATACAGTAGACGACAGCAAGAGCAGAAGTAGCTCAGCGAGCAAACGAGTGAGTGAGAGCGGATCCATCATTAAGATGCATGGAGGAGAATTTCCAACAGTCCCTTTCATTTGAGGCGCTTCATTAAGGCAGAGTCAACAAGCATTAGTCATGGCGGACGCCGCTGTTCCAGGGATAATTAAGGGTAGAAGCATCGCCCGCCTCAACCCTGCTGATGGACTAGCACAACAACCACCAAATAGGCGGAGGGGATGATGATGCTTTGGCTCCTACTCCAAACTTATGCCCTCCTATAGTCGGTCAGAATTTTGACTTTGATGCCTATACTAAGTTTAATATGACCAATAATATAAAAGAAAACACATCCAGCAATATGGCTGAGTAACATTGTGGGGTGTTTTGTTCAGTTGCATATGTACATAGTTGACCTGCATGTACACATGTGGGCGATATATAGGGAGAAATGAATTAATTTGTGGCACATAATAAGATAATGTGCCAAAAGTCACATAGACTGGAGAGGCGAGCAGTCGTTTGAAGAAACAGTAACCCTCTAACCCTAGTGTTAACATGGAAAGTGATAGCTCAACAGCCACAATATTAAATGTAAAGAATTGCTATGGAGAAACAATGTGACAAGACCACGGTGGGGATACTTTGGCTACTTAAAGGAGGACATAAAGCTGATTGGTGATCATACATGCAATGGTCTGATGGAAATTTGTGCCAATAAAAGATAGGCGACATACTTGACATAGCTCCGTATATTAAAGATAGGCCTACTTCGCACTGGAGGCCCTATTTTCATTGTGACACAAAGCCAGTAGTAGTGTCAATTTTGGGGGGCAATGATTCAAGTGAACCTGCTTGCACCAAAGGGGGAATGGTAAGGGGGGGGGTTGCGTTTATGCAAAGGGTAAATTCTGGTATTCAGATTCTGAGGTGCTTGTAGAACTAACAGTGTATGACACAGTGGCATTATAATTCTCACAGTGAGGTCTTACCTTTTTTGGCTGCCTGGTCCTGGCAGTTTTCATAAGTGCAGGGTCCCCAGGCGCTCCACAAAGACACCTCACACTCAACAGGACAGCTGATATGGCAGAGCTGGGTGGTGTTTGGGGGGATACTCAGACACAGATCGCTGTCCACTGGTCGCAATGCTATGGAGACAAAGACATGATCAATGGCTCACTGTAGAAACGCGTTCCACAGCTCTTGTCACTGATAACCCTGCAAACAGTGTTCGACAGAGGAATCACACATAGGGGAATGAAGCCAGTTTGCCAAGATGGTGAAAGAGTGTTTCCCTCTGCAACACCAGCTGCACAGTGAGTAAGATATTAAATCACAACCGTCCATTCATTTTTGATCAGGGCGTTTTCTACTGTTACATCAGGTGTGTCCACTGTTTATATTTTAAATCCAAAGGTGACCATGCTTGTACAGTTTTGTTGCTAAACTTTGAAACAACTTTATAAATACCCTCTGTTTGCTTTTAGGTTTGTTTATTTTGGTAATGTTCTTTGATTTTTGTCTATGCGTCATGCATATGTCAGTTAGGCCCTGACATATTTGGACAATGACACCATTTTCATGATTTGGGCTCTGCCTGCCACCACATTGGATTTGAACAACTGCGATTCAATTGAAGTGCAGACTTTCAGGTTTAATTCAAGGGGTTGAACAAAAATATCCTATCAAACGTTTAGAAATTGCAACCATTTTAATACAAAGTCTCCTCATTTCAGGGGCTCAAAAATAATTGGACAAATTAACATTACCATAAATAAAATGTTCATTTTGAATCCTTTGCAGGCAATGACTGCCTGAAGTCTGGAACCCACAGGCATCACCAAACGCTGGGTTTCCTCCTTTATGATACTGTGCCAGGCCTTTATTGCAGTTGTCTTCAGTTGTTGCTTGTTTGTGGGTCTTTCTGCTTTAAGTTTTGTCTTAAGCAAATGAAATGTATGCGCGATCGGGTTGAGATCTGGTGATTGACTCGGCCATTGCAGAATATTCCACTTATTTGCCTTAAAAAACTCCTGGGTTGCTTTCGCAGTATGTTTTGGGTCATTGTCCATCTGTGCTGCATTTGGCTGAATCTGAGCAGAAAGAATATCCCTATACACTTCAGAATTCCTCCGGCTGCTTCTGTCTCCTGTCACATCATCAATAAACACCAGTGACCCAGTACTGTTGGAAGCCATGCAGGCCCATGCCATTACACTGCCTCCACCATGTTTTACAGAAGATGTGGTGTGCTTTGGATCATGAGCCTTCTCCATACTTTCTTCTTCCCATCATTCTGGTACAGGTTGATCTTAGTTTCATCTGTCCAAAGAACGCTGTTCCAGAACTGGGCTGGTTCCTTTAGATGTTTTTGGCAAAGTCTAATCTGGCCTTTCTATTTTTGAGGCTGATTAATGGTTCACACCTTGTGGTGAACCCTCTGTATTTGCTCTCATGAAGTCTTCTCTTTATGGTAGACTTAGATACTGATACACCTACTTCCTGGAGAGTGTTCTTCACTTGGGTGGATGTTGTGAAGGGGTTTTTCTTCACCATAGAAATGATCCTGCGATCATCCACCACTGTTGTCTTCCGTGGATGTCCAGGCCTTTTTGAGTTTCCCAGCTCACCAGTGCGCTCTTTTTTTCTCAGGAACTGAGAAACTGTTGATTTGGCCACTCCTAATATTTATAGCCCATGCAGCCCATGAAATAGCTTTTGAGTCAATTGTCCAATAACTTTTGGCCCCTTGAAAAAGAGGCGGCTACATTAAAGAGCTGTAATTCCTAAACCCTTCCTCCAATTTGGATGTGAATACCCTCAAATTAAAGCTGAGAGTCTTATGTAATGATATAACTGTAACTTGAATAATTGTTTGGTAAACAGCTAAAATAACAAAACTTGTGTCAGTGTCCAAATATATATGGACCTAACTGTATGTGTGTATGTATTAGGGCTGTATATTGGCAAGAATCTGGCGATACAATATGTATATAATAATAATGTCCTAGCATAAAGAACACACTGCCATACGCATAAAATCTGAATTAAAAAATATTTTTTAATTCAACCAGAACAGTGGGATCTGCATTTTTACAGCACTGCTATCTAGCAGGAGGGGCTCAAACCACAACAATCAATAGTTTTTGAGAATTTATACAATATTACAAAACAAAATATTGCAGTATGATTTTTTTACACCGCGTGTATGTATGTATACTTGTATTTGTGTGTTTTAAAAAGTACAATATACATAAAATGATTGTTATTGTTTTGTTAAGTTGTACAGAAGAATAGATACTGTGCAGAGACAATAGTATTTCAACTCCAGTCTTCAAAGCAATGTGAAATCTGTATAGTTTAACAATATAAACCACACAGACATGAAAACATGTAAAAAAAAAAAAAAGAAAAAAAAGAAAAGAAAAGAGGTAGAAGTTGGTCTTTTAGATCTCCAATGCCCCTGCCTTCAGAATCCCATATCGCCCCAGAAAAAAAATCCTTTCAGCTAAAAATCAAAGCCAAAAAATGCAAACACTCTTCTCTTTCATTCACAGCACCCCCAAATCTTCCAATACCAGACAACTTGGAGACAACAAAGCTTTTTCTTTTTTTTCCCAGCACAGTGGGCCAGTCTTCCATTTGGCCTGATTCTCTGCGGACCTCAGCTCCAAACAACTGTAGGTGACTCTCTGCAAGGTCGTCAGGCTGATGAATCATTCTCGCTGTGCCACAACAGGACTGAGCCTCATTCACATGCAAATTGCCTTCGCTTGGCCAAAGGTGCGTCCGTTAATAGTGTTGCTTAAGTGTGTGTATACGTGTGGCATGCCCTTGAGTGTTCATGTAACACAAGAACAGGTGATTTGTCGAATGGTGTGACATGCTTAGGTGCTTTATCAAATTGTTTTATTTTATAGATTCATTTGTATTTTTGTTTTGTTTTTACCGTTGCTAATGTGTATTTGTATAGAGACCAATAAAAATTGAACTGCCTGACATATGGGACTACTTCTATTGGATCAGGCCATCAGATTTGTCACTCCTATTGGGCTGTTCGATCAGGATATCTGACTGGGAATCCAATGGCTGGGGACCTGTATGATTCCTGTGGAACATCCTTCTTGCATTGCCATTCTGAACCTTGAGAACAACATTTTTATCTTTCTATTCTCTGCACACTGCTCTCCATTTCATGAATCATTTTATGCCATGCCCCACTGTGACTGGCACAGCTGTGTAGAAAGTATAAGGACTGTACTGTGACTGGTTGAGAAGACAGTGATTAATTACCACACTCCTCTGAATGGTCCACCATTCCCCACTCAGTTGTACATTTTGCACGGCTTCTATATGAACAATCCACCAAAATCAATAATGTACATTTCATTTAAACACTGGGGGATGTCAGTTAGACATTTCAGTCTGGACCCACTAACGGACACAGCCATCCCTTAGAGCAATACCACTAACATGGCTAAAGATTTAGACAGTTGGAAGGCAGTCAGATCCACTTAGGTTGGCCAGTCCAGTAAGGGTTTATGGGAAATGCTGATAATATTGGCCAAGAATATCAAATACCAAATTGTCAGTACAGGCTGTTAAAATGCCATATCATTCTAGTGAGCCATAGCTTACAACTGGGAGGTATTAATATAATCATGATTGGCAAATATGCCACTGCGCTAACAGGTGCTCAATTAGATTGTCCAAATGACCTGTTGAAGACTTTAATTCCAAGATGTCCATGTGTTGTTGAACAGTCAGACATCCCATTTATTATGAAAAGCTTTTCATCCACATGGTTCATTAGGAACTTTTGGAGGACAATAGCCTCTTTGGTCTCCTCCTTCCTCGTCCAGTCCATCCACAACCATAACAAAGGCTGATTAATGGAAATCTCCACACAGACTGACCTTGCTTAGGTATCTCTGTGCCAGATGGTCTAGTCTTCCCTGTGCTGTGCTTCCAGCCACCAAATTAGGAACCTCAGAGGCCTGCCGTGCAGCGCCGCTATGTGCCAACTGTCATCAATAACCTGACTCCCAGCTCCTTTCCAGCAGAGGATTCATGGCATCACAGTGGCACAGCTGTTATACAGCATGTCACGGTTTGCTCCCTGATAGGGTTTTACATTCACCGGAACCATTACAGGAAAAACAGCTGATACAACTTACAGTGACAACATCTTTATCTTCGGAAGAACTTGCTATGAAATATGTGCCACCAGGAAGAATAAAAAGCTGCTTATGATAAACAAAAAAGCACTCCATTTGAGAATGTAGCTTTGTAATCAGCAGAGATCTTTGCATGAGTACTGCAGAATTTCAGGAAAATCCTTCACTTTCCGAGTGCAGATTAAATCAAGAACTGGCAGTGATTTGGGATGGTAGCAGCTTCCAGTAATCGGACTGGGAATGACGTGTGTTTTATAGATATTACTGCCAGACTATCCTATCTTAGTCTCTTTGAGATTTGACATCATCCTTGAAAGCAAATGATAAGATTACATCAGCTTAATTGGGCTACGGATTCCCTTCACACAGCCGCTTGGCTCATCACAATTTAATCATCCACTGGATGCTCTGACACAAGAGCGAGGAAATGATCCAGTTACTGCGGTCACATGTGAAGGATACATTCAGAAGATGAATGCCCAAGTCAATACTTAAGGTGGATTAAGATGTAGTTTCTCTATATATCTGCTGACTCCAATGAGACTCTTTACTGATCCTTGAAGTGATTATCTACTGTTCACATGAAATATAAAGTCATTGTTTGTCATCTGCAGCCAATAGAACCCCAACGTGAACCCGCAAATGTTGAGTACCCCAACGTTTTATGTTAGAAATGTACAGTTTGGGTCCCCAGCATTTAGAAACTGCCAGATGCTAACTTGCATATGTTGGTCAATTTGCATAATTAGCATTAATAAGCATAATCACATATATGGACAATATTTCAGCAACTGATTGACTGATTTGAACAATATAGGAGTGGTTTTGGGGCTTAGTGAGAATGCTGAATCCATTTCTGACATTTTCAAAGTACAAAAGGGCTGTTTAAACTGGAGGTAGCCAGTTATTTCAACGAGAAGATTTCAAAGAGTTAGAGACTTTCTTGTGGCAATTTTGAGAAGGTTCCATTAAGTATTGCTCCTTAAAGATAACATTGTTTGGAAGCATGTTTGTTTGCTTGACTGGTGTCTGAGTAAATCAGCCAGAGTTTAGATTTTCTGGTTTGAGTAAAGAAGGCTGCGAGTGGAAAACAGACCCTTGTTGATGCAAGCTCCGAGTATAACTTAATTGCTCATACGCTAGTGTGAAAGGTGTTTAAGAGATAGAGACAGTGAGCTGACCAGATCCTTCATTTCCTCTAGCCAATCACTTGGTATTATGCAAACACAAAGGCAATCAGACAAAAACCCTCCACTTCCAAAAAAACACCATCCACTGTAAGACTGCAGGAATTAGATGTAGCCAACGCAGAAACAGCTGAAAGAAGGCAGTGTGCAAATGAATACGTGGGATGGATAAAGGCTCTCATTCCCATCAGGTGTGTCCAAGTAAAGGGGTGGCTAAAATTATACAAGACATGACAGCATAAAACCTGTCTGAGAGCGAGGACAGGTGCTGGACGAAAAAAAGAGAGGAGGATGTGGCACTGCAGCTGAGCTGGCAGAGCTTTCTCCACATTTATCACATTCATTCTGCTCTTTCTTTCCTCTCACTTTTTCCCCTCTGCCACCATCCTTTGTTTGTGACACAGAAGCAAAATCTAGTCACTTTTCACCTGTTATAATTCCTCCATCAGTGTCCCTTGCCTACACCCAAAAACACTCTTCCATAGCCATTACCCTGTTAACATGCAGGCAGGTGCAGCCACTATTTCCTATACCATTCTGACAATAAATGTAAGGGGAACTGTGGAAAGCGTGGTGGAGACTCACCGCTGTTAACAAAATGTGGAATCTTGACACTGAGGGATGAAAGCGCCTGGCTGGTTGTGAGCATCTGATCTGAATAATTTCTAACAGCAGACGCCAGTTCAGCCTCCCCGGCCAGATGGACTGAGGCTTATTGTGTCAGTGCTGGATAAGCACAGGCGTGCTACCAAGCCACTTCCAGCCTCCTTGTGCTCAGTAATGCCACCAATTTACGTGAAAGCTCATATTTCATCTGCTATCCTCTCTGTGTGGCTTTTTGTACATACATTAGCATATGCATATTGCTCAGTCCCAGATTTGATATGAGGGGAAAACCACTTTAATTCTTCTTTCTGGTCTCCACATATGGCTGGTAAAGCAGGGGGAAGATATCAGTGACTCTGTGCAGAGCTGGAACAGATGACAGTACTCTGGTGTGTGTGTGTCAAACACAAGCCAGAGCAGATGATTCAAAAGCTCATAAACAACTTTTTTTTATCTGCCACTCGGCTCTATAACAGATGTGTTTTGAAGCTGTTTTTAAGCAGGCTATGTCAAAACATTACAGCTATTGAAAATGCTGTAATTTACCCCACAAACCCTCTTTGCTATCTGTCGCCAAGATGTTGAATCTATAATGTTGTGCTATTTGAGCTGATAACAGAACTTAGGCGATATGAATCCTGTCTAATATAATGATAACTATGCAGTTGATTAAGTGGAACTGGAATTAAGCTGAGAATTACTTGCAAAGGGTCTCAGTCTGGGTTGGAAATGTACATTTTTGTCCACTTGCCACTGTGGCTGCTGCATTTCCGATCAACGACACATTTTTGTTACAAACCACTTTCTTGTTTTAAAGCTGCAGTAGGTAATTTTTATAATTTTTTGCCCTTTACTGAAACTTTCACTATATCCTGACAGTAATATGTGAGATCCGGTTCCTCTGGCTCCTCCTAGTTGTCCTAATGGCATTTGCAAGAATCTACCAGAGGGCAAGAAAGGTATCTGGGAGACAAAGGTATCTGGGTCCCAAAGCATCTGTATTTGACGCCCTGTGATAGATACTCAACAATAAACTATCTTCAAGCTTCCAACCCAAAGCGTCTTTCTATCTTTCTTGGCCCCGATTGGTTGTTTTCGTTCAGGCCCGGCGGATTCCTACAAATACCACTAGGAGCACTGGGAGGAGCCAGAGGAACCTGATTTTTTCATGACAAAAGGTATTTTTTATAAAAAATTACTTAGTGTAGCTTTAACTGACAGTGTGTATGAAAAATATTAAAACAAAATCCACAATATTCAAGTAATAGGCTATTTAACTTTTGACTCAGACTTTATGTCGCCAAAACTGACAACTGACTGACAAAATTACTCAGCCACTGTAATACACATACAATATTTCTATAAGGAAAGATACAGTGTGTCTGTAGCTGTCAATCATAGTGACCAAGTCACCAAGGAAAATGCACCCAGATGGTGTCAATTCAGAGCCAAAGACACACCATTTGGGGAATATTTTCACTGGCAAAGTGTAGGCAGAACAGAAGTCCCATGTTACATTTATTGAGGTATTTAGACTGGATATGGAGTTGCATGAAATGCATTACGAATCGTCATATTTTAGCATCAATATATTCTATTACTCAGTCACCTGACTGGATATACTGTCCACCCGTTGAAATCACAAACAGAATGAGCGACAAGGACACACTTGGTGAACTCCAGAGTTTTTAGTCAAATGGAGAAGAAAATAACACCTTTGGCTCCAGATGTCATTTTTTAAAATCACATTCAATCAAATTGCATTTTGATTGCATGTGGTTTTCAACATAGAAAGGGCAGATCCATTCTAATTGGCTTGCTCTGGGTTCAAACAAGCTAAATGCCGGTGATAATATTGACTGGGTTAATTTCCCATTGCCTGCCCAGAAGTGTATTTATGTATGTAACGCTTTAAGAAATGGTGAGAAAGGCAGTACATCAAATACATGACAACAGTAGAGACGACAGAAGAAAAGCATGCTGGGAAAGTTACCTTCTTTGCTCCTGAGCGAGCCGAGGTTGGGCGGTGTATCGGCGCTGCTCTGGACGCAGTAGACCTCTCGGGTTTGAATCCCACCTCCACACAACCCTGTCTGGTTTCCACGCCGACGGTCCTGTTGGCTCAGCAGCACGTCCACCCTGCACTCTGTCCACTCCGTAGTCTTCCAGCTGTAACTGAGGACAGAGGTGGACACAAGAAGATACAGAATGTAAGCCCCAGAGTGTCTTCTCTTCAAAGAAATAACTGGTTTAATAGAAGAGAATTCATCAGTGCAACAAAAGTCCTTATAAATGTTGCAGATCACTGTCGGGTTTCGGGTAAAAGACGCAGGGGAAGGAGATCTGCCACTGTGTGCTGTTGAGAGATCGGTCTGGTGGTCTGGGCCAAACACAATTCATATTGACCAATATATGAAGGTATAGCCTTCATGGAGTCATTTTTATATTATATATAGTATATATTTATAAAGGTTTATGATATATGTGGACTAGATTATTTTTCCTAATTAGTTCTATTCTTCATATATCATAAATCTTTGAATAAATAAAGGTATATATATATCTGCCAAAAACTACCCTGCACTACACTGATGTGTCTGCCAAACAGTGTCTGGACATAAAATCAAGTATGCTGTGAATATTTATTTGTCTTGTCAAATGTGCTAACACGTTATACATATACAAACTGCTCATTTCCTTCCTTTCCACTCCAACCTTCTGTTTTAGAACCTTTCCTGTGTTTCCTTTCAATCTGTCATCTACACACTTGTTCTTTCTTTCTTTGCCAATTCATTTTAGTAGTTTAAAGCTCTTTTTGACATTTAACATTCTTTGTTTCTGTGTACATTATAAGACTTTCAGACTATTAGACTGCATAGTCTTGGATATAACAAACAGACATATAGATTAATAGATGTTTACTTGAATATTTTAAATGTTATATATAGACCAATTAGGGAGTATTTGAAAGATTAGAAATTCATGTTTGACTAATTTAATGCAGCAATTAAATTAACTTTAGAAGAGCGGATCATGGAAAAGCAAATCACAGCAACTACATTCATTTCATCATTGTTTGTTTCTGTCATACCTCAGTGAGCGTGGCCTGGAGGCTCTGAACAGGATCGCTTGTGCCCGAGTGAGATGCGGTGGTGGCATTGATAGAAAGACTTTTTTATGTTATTGACCTTAAATCTCTGTTTACAATACACCTCAGGATATGCAGTTTAACGAGAGCGTCCACTGAGAGCTCTCTAAGGCTGGATGTTTTAAGCTGAAAGCAGGTTGTTAATTGCAGCGGCTATTCATAGTCGGGTTTGTGTCTGGTTGGTGAATTGGCAGCAGTCTGCTTCAGTAATAATGCATTGTGGTTTCCACCCTGAGGTCAGAAAATGTAAACCCTGCCTCCATCGCTGCTGATAATGGAATTCATTTGAGGTCGCCAATGAAAGGCTCCATATTCATGAGCAAGGGTCCTCTGTCTCTCTCCCACTCTCAGTTGCTTCTGCACTGCTGCGGGACAATGAGGCCCCTGGGAAAGCATTGCATCTTGGGGCTTTAAGTTGCCCAGATGGGGACACTCAAACAGAGCAGGCCTTCAGTACCATGGACAGAGCGGCTGCCTCTCTTCCTGCTGTCTGTCCAGAAAGCAGCAGGAGTCGATGGACATTGATTTACTGTTTCACATTATGACTGATTCTACTCTGCCCATAAAACTGGCTAATAAAATGAGCAGATGACTTCTAGTATTAAACATATGGGTTATAGAGAGATTAAGTGAAAGTGAAAATATTCCATAATGTACTCCAGGGGTAAGAAAATTTATTCAAAGTCACATTTTTCTACTAAAACTCCTGTTTTTACAGATTTTTTCTCAATTGTAGGTCATGCACTTGTCTCCATTTGACAGGGATGGTAACCATTTAATTTTAGGTTGGCCTTTAATGAAGCAAACAAGCCCAAGACTGAAGGGCAACACACATCGCCAGCCGTCAAAATACCCACACCTATTGTTTCTGTAGAAGCACACATACTACTGGCGTCTTGTCATGTCATTCCCAGTGCTGACGTGCATAATCTGTATTTTCATGGCATATCCAAGCTATAGCGTCTGGATTTGCTGTCTGCACAACATGTCTGATGTGTATGATGATGTAGGGTCATGCATTAAATAACCTGATGCCACACAACGCAGACAGAGTATCTGGTGCTTAAAGTGCAGCTGGGTGGTGGCTATGAGAATGAACTTGTCAAACTCCCTAGTTTAGACTATGGAAGAAAAGATATTGGATGTGTAAGACATCTGCTCAGATTGAAAATACGGTCACTGTATGCCTTTAATGTTAGCATGAGGTGCTGGAGCCAAAAGCTAACAGGGACACCCTTGATTATTTTAATGTCAATAGTCCCTTCAGTTAATGGGAATGTTGATCCTTGGGTCAATCCCATTATAGCCCATGTCCTACTTGCTTTCTAGCATCACAAATATCTTGTAATTTTCCCATTCGAACTAGCAGATAACCATCTTTGTCCAGTACTTACACAATGCAGGGTGGCACTCCGTCTCCCAGAGGGCTGCAGGGCTCCTTCTCCTCCAGCTCTGGGCAATCTGCTCCTCCACCAATTGGGAACTGGCTCACTTTCCTGGTGCGAGCGCGCTGGCCCTTGGGCCCGTTTGGGTCGTAGCACTCCTTGGAGCAAGCCGACCATTCAGACCAGTCAGTCACATCGCAGTCTTTGGTCATGACGCAAGCCTGGAAGGTCACTGGCAACGTCTCCTGAGAGCACAGGCTGGAGACGAGAACAAGAGAGACCATAAGACCAGATAAACCTTTAAGACTTCAAAAAAGTTCAAAACAGCACAACAAAAACCTTAATGTTACTGAGATATGCTGAAGTACGAAACAGGAGGAATGCAAATAAAGTCCGAAAACTGTGTTAGCTTTTTAGCACCTCCGGTTCCCTCTCCTCGTTGTCAGTGGGTTTTTGAATGGGTTTTTGGTTAGATGCCACTGTGGTGTAGTTTGTTTGTAGCCTAACGTTGGCTTTTTAATTCTGCTGATCGCATTTATGCTTCAAAAATCATCAGATTATCTAGATGAACAAATTGTGTAAGTGAGCAAGTTAGCAATCATAACGATTCAACATCCCGTTAGTCTTGCATGGTAATGTTGTGAAATGGTCAAAACTGAGGCACAAAAACGACTTGGTTAGATATAGCAAATGATGGTAAATTAAAGTTACTTAACTTAAGTACGGTTTACATTATTGTTTACTTTTGGTTTAACATGAGACACAAACAAAATAAGCTTCATATTGACAGCACAATGTCCACAGAAAGTCGTAAACAACAGCAGATAAAGGGCAAAAAGGTAGGAAGAGCAGCATTTTTTCCCTGTTGTGGATTATTATATTAAGAAGCAAACAAAGTGGGTGTAGTGTAGGGATTACACAGATGTAAAAGGCTGGTGAAACACTGCTGTACACCCTACAGCTTCCCTTTGTCTGAGTCAGCCAGTATGATAAACATGGTTTGAAAGTTGTTCATTTACAAACCCAAACAATTTGTTATCCATATTTTCAGTGGCTGCTTCACAGCGCCACGGCTTTGTTTGATGAAAGCATTGCTGTGGAGCTGAAAGACACTGTTTTTTCTCTCTGTGTTTTGTTGAGGCTGATAGGCCATTTGGGATATTGGCACACGCCTCCTCTTTTTGTGCTTCTCTTCACGTTTCTTGAATTTCCCTGGGGATAAATAAAGTAGTTTCAACAGTTATATTTTTTCCTGAACTTCTGGAGCCCTTCTCTCCGTCTCACTCAATCTATTTTTTCAGGTTTCTATCACAATTCTCCTGCAGCCATTGGGGTCCTTTCTTTAAACTCTCCTTCTATGGTAAAGCCAGAGCAACTATGTCTAGGCACAGACGTGATTATGGCACAGTGAAGCTTTACAGATACAAAATGTAACCATTTGCACTTTGATCTAGTTTTTACTGATTTTTTGCTCATCTATTCCCCTCCAGTTGTTGCAGACATCATATCGTTTATATTATTTGCACTAGTAAGGTTAAACCATAACAAAATGTGAATTAGCAAATTCTGCAAAGGGGCCCTCGTACCTGACCTGGTGAGCCATGTCAACCTTTTGCCATGGGGACTCATATGTTATAAGCATGTGTGAGACATGGTACATTGGTCATACGTACGTACGTAACGACAACAAGCACAGTTTGCAGATAATTTAGCCAACATTAGCAAAGTGGCACGAAAGCCACTAAATCCTACACACTGGTCCTTTAGGTAATAGTTTGAAAAAGAGACAATAAAACAACAGCAAAGACTGCCTTCTGTTATACTCTGCACACCTGGCCAATCACTCTGTGAGGTTACATGGCAGTTAATGGCGCAAGCAAATCATGTTTGTCCCGGGTCACCCTAGCAGGTCATTTGGGCCGTGCTTTATGTAATGCAATAACAGTGTCACACTACTTCTGCCTCTGATAGACAAAATGAAACAAACCTGAACGAAAACAGATCAGAGCCAGGGCTGGACTGGGACAAAAAATAGGCCCGGGCATTTGGAGCCAAGACCGGCCCACCAGGTATTGATGGAAAGACAATGAAGCCTATGAATGAAAACAAACTTTTTCGCGGGTCTCTCCTCCTCCTGCCTCCCCTTCCCCTCATCCACCTGACGACCACCTCTGCCATCATTACCTGCAGCTGCTTCGGATGCTGCTGCTGCTGAAGATGAAGCTCCGCCATAGCCACCAGCAAACATCTGTGTTATCTTAACACATTTGGCAGCATCTGCCTGATGGGCGTGTCTCTTTTTAGCTCTAATTTTTTCCGCGCCTCCTTTCCGCTTCTTGCTGTTCTCCAATTTCGTGATCTCCTCTCTCTCTGTATGATTGATTGATTGACAGCCGAGGCCCAAGAGGGAGGGGGCATCGGCCGTCGGCTGTAATTGGTCCAGCCCAGATTCAATCATGACTAATATAGTCAGAATATAGTGAAAGTTTCAGGAAATATGACAAAAAGTTATTTTTATAAGAAAAGGAATTACCTCCTGCAGCTTTAAGCATTTGAACCAGTTTAACCAGTTAATGCTGTTTCAGCAGGATATCTTGTTCTCCACTAGTGTTGGACAGATGCTGTTAGCACAACAAAAACTGCTTAAGAAAACAGTGTTATTAGACTTTCAAAATCATGCATGGAAAAAGTTGTCTTTATAACAAATTTTCTCTTCGCTTGACAGCTTGCTGAACTGCTTGTTTTTTGGAACGCCAAAATAACTTGGCATTCCAATATTAACATATGCATGAAAATCTTAATTCAAAATAATACAATCTTGTAACAATTATTTCCAACAATTACAATATGTGTTTTCCTTTTACACTTGATAAAGGTCCAGTAAGTTTGCAATTGATCATCATTTTAAAGCCTGGACCCTTGGGGATAATTAGCAGCTTTAGCAACCAGATAAAATTATAATTCCCATAGTCATGGCTCCAACTGTAAATAAACTTGATCCTGGGCTCCAGCCAACGTTAATACGGTCATCACTATCAACTAAGCCTCTTTGAAGCTTTCAGCCATCTGTGCTAAAAAAAATTGTATCCGTATGTGGTAAGTAGTTATCAATCCTAGTTTGTATCATGGAAATATAATATTCTACTTTAATGCTGTGGTATGATGAGTGGCATTCGCTTGAAGTTGATAGCTAATTAATGAATCCTGACCTTCTCCCAAGCAGCAAAAGCAAACTTATCACAAGAGACTTGATTTTCTCAGGGTGTAATGGAGGCTGCTCAGTGGCCTCTATTAGAGTCGAGCAAGCGCAGTGAGACAGAATGAGGCCATTCATCTACTAACAAAGAGCACTGCTCTCAGACACCACATGGACATTGACCTCGCTGGAGGAAAATGCGTACAGAGGCTGTGCATCTCAGGATGGAGCTCGCACTGGAGCTCTGGCGAAACGTCCAGTGGTTTTGAGCTATGTACACTGAGGAAGTGGAATAGACCAAATGAGGTTGAACACTTGCTAATTGGAGCCGACAGAAATTTTTGTCACAACCTTTGTCAGTATTACTGAGGCCCTGCATTGTAGCATTATAAATTATGTATATCACAGACACGGTCCACTAATTAAACCCAAGCCTTTATGTATGATTTTGAATAATCTCAATTAGCTCTGACTAAATATTAGATTGAAGACATAAAACTGAGATAGAACTCAAGGCTTACAAGGTTTTGCAACACATACAGTACAGTGTGACTGAGTGTTATGAGCCCTGACACTTGAAGCCACTGAGTGCCACAGATAATGCACTGAGTTGGAACATGTAGCACTCTGACAGTGCACAACAAACAAGCCACATTTCTCTCTGTGAAAATATGTCACTAAGCTAAACAACACAGCTCTTCAATGGGCAATATAATCCACCTGAAATGATCCTTTACATAACAAATGAGTGTACATATGGGAAATGTGAGAGGTAGAGCAGGTCGTACACTAATTTAGAAGGTTATCAGTTGAATCCCCGGCTCCTCTCGCTGCATGTGGAAGTATCCTTGAGCAAGACACTGAACCCCAAATTGCTCCCGATGCTGCATCGGTGTATGAGTGTGTATGAATGATTAGTTTCCGTTCTGGTGAGCAGTTGGCACCTTGCATGGCAGCCACTGCCATCAGTGTATGAATGTGTGTGAATGGGGTGAGTGTAGCATGTAGTGTACAGCGCATTGAGTGGTCGAAAGACTAGAAAGGCGCCATATAAATACAGTCCATTTACCATTTATCTGCTGATGAATCAAATGATCAATGAAATGTCATGATCATTCATCATTAGATTTTTTTAAAATTCTGCATTATTGGCCTTCAGCTGCTCTGTTTGGGGATCAAACGCTTCCTTTTGTTGGTTTCAAAAAGCCACTTTCCCCAAGATAATGATTCTATCCCCTGAAGACAACTTACAGCAATTGCATTCACTGTGTACACTTTATGACGTGATACCCAAAAAGCATTAAAGGCTTGAGGGCGTCTATAAAGTATAATGCATTTGCAAATGTTATGATACGAAGCGTAGTGCACACAAAAACTTAAAATAAAAAAAAACAATAATAAGGTCCAACCATCTCAATGACATATTAAAAACACTGGAATTTAATGTTGTAAATTGTACACTGTCAGCCTGTATATTTCCCTGACTTCTGATCAATGTAATCAATGACTTATATGTGATAAAATATCTGATTTGAGCATAAATGCCTCAATAACACTGCACTGACAGACTGAAAGCATCAGAGCACATTATGCATTTCAGTCTCGTCCTCCTAAGAAGAATGACAGCAATAGTTGTTTCAACAAATGCACCAAAACGACACATTTACATTCAAGTGACAAAGCCCTCTAACTGCTCTTGGAATACTTCTTGGAAAGTTGTGATCTGAACCCAAACCACAATGTTTCCCTGAACTAAACAAGTCTAACCTTTGCAAGCTGGATTCACAAGATCACGCTAGAATCCATCTTGCCAGGCTTCAATCTATCTGTGGCAAAACTACAGTAGTACCTGACTGATGTCTGGTGTCCTTCTGCTGATAGGGCGGTCAGATCAGAGAACACCTGGGTGTTATTATGCTGTCTGGGGTATGGACAAACAATGTACTGTATCTTCTTGTTTAACTAGGAGGATATGTTGGTACTTCAATTGAACTTCAAACTTTATTATTACTTTTCATCAGTTTGATCTGATGCTAAATGGGATTAGGGCCTGTTCAACTTATTATTCAAAAAACTAAATTGTTTTATTTCGCATGGTACATTAAAGACAGAGTGAGTGATTAATACATCATGCAAGTACAAGTGCCGAAAAGGGGCATTAGGGCGTTTTAAAAGTGCCAGATTTCCAACCATCCCATAAGAAATGTGCTGGGGGGGTTCTGGGATATCACAGTTAACAGAGATATCAATCTACTTCCTCCAATAGGGGTAGATCCAGGCAGAGAGCTATCCTCTGTTGCGCTTTGTCTCTAACCCTAATCTCAATGCTAAACCCTAATCTACCACAGGCCACTACATTCAGTGTCCACATTCAATCCAGCAACCCTAACCCTAAAATCTACCTTTTGCCAATCCTAACGCTAGAATAACCTCAAAGTCCCAATTCTAAAACACTTTACCTTGATATATATGTGTAACCTTTATTCTAGTCTCAACTATTATCTGGACTGGCCTCATACAGTCACACAAAGGCACTGGACAGAAACACAACACTGTACATGAAACCATGGGCATAAATCAAAGCTGTGAGGGCATGAGTTACTTATTTTAGTCATTCTTACCTGAGAGCTTCAACATTCCCACTCTTATGCACACAGGTCACTTCTCTGGTCTGGTAGCCAACCTGCAGGTCCCAGGACTTTCCTCCCGGGCGGTTCTGACGGTTCCTGTTCCTTTTCTTCTTGATGAGTTCTCTGGTCTCAGGATCCTTCACCTTACCCCTCTCCCTTAACCTCTCCCGGACTTTCTCTCTCATTTTCTCTCTTTTCTCTTTGTTTTTAGCCTTTTTCTGTCGTTTGGGCCTGTCTGCCTGTCGGGATGGCCTGTCTGGTTTCCTGTGTGCCTTACCCAATTTTCTGTTGGGTCTGAATACTTTATCACCGTCTCTGGACAGTTTATCAACCTCTTTGGACCTTTTGTTTCCTTCTCTGTGCTGTTTGTCACCCTCTCTGGTCTGTTTGTCCCCCCCTTTTGACTGCTTGTCACCCTCACTGGGCAGTTTGAGACCCTCTGTGGTTTGTTTTTCACCCTCTTTAGATGTTTTTTCACCCTCTCTGGACTGTTTGTCACCCTCTCTGGACTGTTTGTCACCCTCTCTGGACTGTTTGTCACCCTCTCTGGAAGGTTTATCACTTTCCTTGGATGGTTTGTCGCTCTCTCTGGGTGGTTTGTCAGCTTGTCTGGCTTGCCTCGGCATCGGGACAGAGCAGGGCCCCCAAGGTCCCACCCTAAGGCTGTAGAGGCTCTCCTCTCCCTCACAGGGCCCTGGCTGGCATGTCTGAAACTCAGTCAGGTTTGGGCAGGCTGACCCACCGAACAGCGGAGGAGCCAAAACAAAGCGGATCCGGTTCTGTAAACCCATCCCGCAGGTTTTAGAGCAGGTAGTCCATGGGCTGAACTCAGACACCACACAGTCCCGTGGACAGGGGATAAGACAGGCCTGCTCTAGACGTGGTTTAGGCTCAAAGTATTCACAGATTGCATCCTCTGCAGGCTCTGCATTCGCTTTCTGTACGCAGCCCACTTCACGGGTCTGGATTCCCTCATCTCCCCGGGTACACACAGCAGGGCGCTGCACCCCAGCACTGCGCATCGACACCGGGACACACTGGTTCCAGGCACCCAGCTGCCAGTCATACAGGTCTTTGTGCCAATCGCATACTCTGAAGCAGCTTTGCTGGTTGTCCGGCCGTTCTGTCTGATCGCAGTTGGTGTGCAGGGTGGTCCAGCCTTCAGAGTGAGCACACCATACTGCTCTGCTCTGGCTGCCGCCAGGTCCACACTCACTGCCCATACAACGACCCCATGGACCTGTAAAGAATAAGACAACAGAGGTCAGGGGAAGGTCAAAGCGAGACTAAAGATAGAATTAAGGTACCTTCTTTAGGGATGTCAAAGAGAAATGCTCAACCACTTTTCTTGGTTTAACTCCAGAGTATAACAACCATGTACTCACTAAGTACAATCATAGCTTCACTAAATAGTTAATTCATAGTTATGGCAAATACTAGTGTCAGGAGTGTACAGTTTTACTGTTCTGTAAGCGACTATCAACATATTTGGTGTTTCAGGTTAACCTCCAAATAGCGTGCCACAGCATGCTTCAAACTGATCTTTAAAATGTTAATTTAAAAAATATCAGTCATGGATAATTCCTAAACTTGTAAACTCTTTGAAAAGTCAATAACTGTACCACAAAATATTTTAAAAGGGGGTACTTTATTGTCTGAATGGATTTTGTTGTAGATTATGTCCCAATGTTCCCAGACCTTGGCAATTTTTTTGTTGAGTGCAATGTTATCATGACCAATAGACTACAAATAAAAATAGAAAAGATGTTTCATGGTCACCCTTTCACAAACGATTCCACTCAGTCCCAGCTGGTGACAAAAAGTACATCCCTGATAAAGGATATTATTTATAGTCCTAAAGTGCTACTGACAACCCACTGCCATTCCAAATTGTGTATCTGAAACCTAAGTGCTTCTGCATGCTATAACAATTTGCTGACAAATACACACATACTATTAAATCACTCTCTTTCAATAATGGGATTGCGCTTCCACTGGATTTATGAGAATGCAATTATACTGTAGGTCTAAGTAAACATTGACTTTCAGCAACAAAAAAACTATTAGGAGCGCAGCAGATGGAGAGCCAGAGCAGCTGAAGACTCAATCAATAGAGCAGCAACATAAAAATTAGCTAATATGAGGAATGGGGCTACAACGGTGGGAACCTTTGGATTTTTTATTCGCCAAATGGTGATTATTCAAATTTTAACTTTTTATTTTAACAGTAAAAGGGTATAAATGTGAATTGTATTATAATGAATATTTTCATAAAAAAAAACAAACGGAAAACATATGCAACTGTGCATTTGTCCACACTGATTGCTAATCAGATCAATCAATCATTTTTCATTTTACGCAGTATCTGCTAGACCTATGAAAACAACAACCATAGAATATTGACAAAACACAAAATTGAAGAGAAAATCCAGAGAAAGCGGATCTCACATCCTTCCCCACACTGATATTCTGATTTATCTCTGAGAAATGTTGAAAAAAACAGTACAGTGATGAGGACTAAATTCAAATTATGGATTCAGACTAATAAAATTAAACACCATGGCAATGAGCTCGAAAATGCAAAGCAGGATAAAAGTGAAATTCACATCATCCCCTAGATCAGCCGCAAGTACTTCCTCGACCTCTTGGTCAAACATAGACAATGCTGTTACACTGGTTTAGTCATACAGAGCCTCTTCATGATGATTCATGGCTGATCAAAGGCATCTTAATCACAGAGCAGAAGTGGGTCATTTCTTCCTGTCACCAACCACCATGGGATCTGACTGTGAACTGAATATATATATATATATATATATATATATATATATATAAACTGCATAGTGTGTGTGTATGTGTGTGTGTGTGTGTGTGTGTGTGTGTGTGTGTGTGTGTGTTGTCAAGGTATCTCAATCAAAACCAAACCTCATGGTGGCACTAAACAAAAAGTCAGGGGATCACCAAAGTAAATAGGATTCATCCCCTCATGATCTATGTCTGTATGAACTGTCAGGGCAATCTGCTGAATGAATCCACTGAATTTGGTGGATAGACCAAACCCACAGGCTGCTGCTAGAGTGTCTTAAAAGTAGCATTCATTGAAACCAAATGGAGTGATTTGTCAGACAGCAAGAGTAGCCAGGAAAAAAAATCTGAGCTGTAACTGCCTATTACTAGACAATAGGGTACATTTATTGTGTTCATAGTCAGAGGCTGTATCAAACAGTGCTTTATGGTTTCACTCAATAAAGTTGAGATGCAGCAATGAAAATGTCAGCGGAAGAAGCAGCAGGCTAAATTAGCTTACAGCTGCAGGCAGAGGGTCTGGATCAATACAAATCAATAGAGGTAGCAAGAAACTAGCCCAGACACAAGAGACAGCTGCAGTCACAGATCTCACTGGCTGCCATTATCCTCTTTGGAAATGAGCAAATAAACCACAGGAAGAATAGGATATCTGAGGCACAGTGTTCATTTAATTTAGCATACATTGAGTCAGTGATGAGATTGAGCGGTCAATGATGAAAACCAATCGTAAATTGATTTTGTAATTAAGATATATAGACAAAAGGCTACATGCTGCAAGGCTAAGTAGCCATCTGGGCTGGGATTCTCATCCACATCTAGCTCTCTGAAGAGGCAAGTGTGTTTATTGCCATAAAGTATTAGCTCCCTGACAGGCAGTATTGTCTCAGCCCCACGCAGGTGTTCGCCATAATTTACGAACAAGCCACTGAGTGACACGGGCCGACAGTGAGCTTAGAAGCCAAAGAAGAGTGGTTGTGCTCACGCTGGCCTACATCGTCTGTCACCCACTGAGAGGAGCCAGGAGGCACGGAGGGCACTGTGCCAACAAGGCTGAAACTCCAGGAGGGATGTAACACGTCTTATGTGTGGAAGTCAGTTGTTAACAGACAACTACAATAACACAATAAATATAGTTCATTTGCATGATGTGACTACAAATTCTGCACCATCTTGGAATAATGTGTGTTATGCTCCCAGGAGGTTTTCCCACCTTTCACTACAATTGATTTTTTGCAAAATCATCATTATGTTCATGTGGAAAGAGCATTTTAACTGAAGCTAATGCATATGCTGACTTGACTATGACCTTAATTTAAAAATAAATTAGGTAAATCTCAAAATTAGCACAGACATCATCAGTTTCTTCCATCTGTATTTATACAGTGCTATATGAGGTATGCATATTACTTTAACCTCCAAATAACAAGCAGTGCAGTGATGAAAAGAAAGAAAACAGAATTTTGCTAAAAAGAGAATTTAAATGGTAAATGGACCTGTACTTGTGTAGCGCCTTTCTAGTCTTCCGACCACTTAAAGCGCTTTTACACTACATGCCACATTCACCCTTTCACACACATTCACACAGTGATGCACAGCATCAGGAGCAATGTGGGGTTCAGTATCTTGCTCAAGGATACTTCAACATGCAGCGGGAGGAGCTGGGGATCGAACCAACAACCTTCCGATGAGTGGGCGACCCGCTGTGCCCCTGCGTCTTTAACATTCACATCAATAGCAAGGGACAGAATGAACTCAAAGATCTGCTTTCGCTTGGCCCATAATTGGCCTTGTACCCACAATCCCCTGGTCCTATGATCCTCAGTCCCAAGCCTCAGTGTGAACATCAATCAGTAGACTTGTTTCTCTCCTCCCCACATCGGGCCCCATTAAAGTACGAGCGGCCTCTCCTGAGACCACTGGTACAGTATAAAGTACACGCTGGCCTCGGTCACATTCCCAGCAGCTCACTGTTCTGTTGCTGGTTCCCAGATTCACCAACTGATCCCTCACAAAGCCAATCCCTCTTAGTTACTGTGGCTATACGCTTGTCAAGCTTCCCATTCAGGCATGTATGCAGTGTACAATGATAACAATGGCAGCCTCTGGATTCTTTTGCTGGCAGAAATGACAGCTGTCGTTAGCAGATCATTATCGGCTGTAGCAAGCTATCTAATTAATGCTAGCTTCAAAAGCTGGTCGTCTCCACTGGTTTTAAGATTACAACTCATTAAAAAGGTCCAGTGTGTAACATTTAGGAGGATCTGTTGCTGGAAATGGAATATAATATTCATTAGTCAGCTGAAAAAAGGAGTTGTTGTGTGTTTGTTACCTTAGAATGAGCTTTTTTTATTTACAGAGGGAGCGGGTCCTCTTCTATGGAGTCTGCCATGTTGAACTGCCATGTTTGTACGGTAGCCCAGAATGGACAAAACCAAACACTGGCTCTACATTTTGCAGCCACCGTAGTATTCAGTTGGTTGCAATCTGCAAATTCACCACTCGGACACTGGTCCATTAAAGCTGCAGCAGGTAGGCTCCTCCTAGGGCTTCTAATGGCATTTGCAAGAATCCACCGAGCCTGACCGAAAACAACAATCAGAACCAAGAAAGATAGTTGATTGTTGAGTCTCATTCACAGAGTGTCGAAGTCTGTATTTGATGCCCTGGGAATGAAACTCAACAATGACCTTGATGACATGATCTTTCTTGGTTCTGATTGGTTGTTTTCATTGCTTCATTTTCATCTTGTGTCCTACTGTCAGGATCCAGTGAAAGTTCCAGTAAATAAGACAAAGAAATATTTTTATTACAAAAAATACCTACTGCAGTTTTAAGGGGACATGAATATGCACTGTATGGCTACATTAATTATGTGCTAAACAAGGACTAGGACTAAAGCTACACCAGACAGTTGATAGAAAAGAAAGGAGCAGCACCATTCTCGTACTGCGAGCTGAGATAAAGCCTTCAAGAAATAAGATTAACAAAGGTTTTTGGTGAACTTAAGGCTATACTAAACTCTAATAGCATGGGGGGAGGGACAATGAATGTCTCATTTCTGTACAGGGCTTTTTCCAATGTAACCTGCAGCTCCACAAAACATCATAGTTAGCTAATGATATGCATGGGCCTTGGCAGTATCGCTATATAACTAGTGATGGTTACGTAAAAGCAGACTCACTTGATTAGTCCATTCCTTTCAGAAAGGCTTAACAAAAGACACACCTCCAAACTCTTCAAATGCTGAGTATCTCTCTCACTAGAGCCCCATGTAACCCGCAATGGCAAGTGGACACATATAAATTACCATTCCATTAACCTGCAATTACATGCATAGCTAACCCAATGCAGTTAGTTCATCTAAATTTGAATAAAATTATGGTTGGGTCTTCAAAAAGACTTAAGCTTGCCACACAAAATTCAAAAACTGAC